ATGTATATCTAGTTGGATATTAATGGAAAGTGCCAAACTGGACAGTACTTGGCTCCCCAGAACTGGTATGCGCTAAATCGCACAGGAACATGAGAGAATCTTAATTCTTCTCAACATAATGGTTCTAGCTTCAACAGTTAACATCGTTGTTGTTAAGTCAAGGATCCAAACTCTAGTAATCGTTTGGTAAGGGAACGTTGTACTTGTTCAAGATTCCTTTTGTCGAAATATTTAAAGTTGTGGATACTAATGGACAATATTCTAAGACTGGGCGTGCATATGCTTTATACACAGCTGACCTAGAGTCTTTCAAGTGTAACATATTGAAAATACATGCTATTATAAATCTCGCTTTGGCGATGACATGATGTACCTGTTCGGAGAAATTGAAAGAGCTTGAGTAGCGAACTCCGAGGTCACGAATCGTTGTGCAACAGGTACTTAGTTTGTCATCGGACTTCAGTATGTCATTAACGAGGTTGCATTTGAATAATTGGGCTTTACATTTGCCAACAGAGAATGTCACTCACGGCACCACTGCTGAAGGGCGAAGGGTTCCATCTTTATTGTCTGAGTGCTGTTTGGTTCATTTATGCTATCAAAATCGAACACCACGTTGATATCATCCGCGAAAAGAAATGGTCTGCCATGTCGAAAGATTCGGAAAATGTCATTTATGTATAGTAGGAATAGCAATGGGCCTAAAACGCTTCCCTGTATGACGCCGCTGGTTACTGGTATAGGTGAAGATACGCAGTTTCCCACTCTGACACATTGGGTGCGTGTAGACAAGAAAGATGACAGCCATGCTAGTAATGGGTTAGTAAACACATAAGAGGCTAAATTAGTTAGAAGTTCTGCATGAGGTACGCGGTCGAATGGTTTTTCCATGTCCAAGAATATACTAATTATAGACTGCGCGTAGTCAACCAGCTTGGTTACGTAGTCCAGAAATTCAAATTTGCAACTTTGACATGAACGACCAAGGAGAAATCCGTGGTGGAATCTGTCGATTAGATTCTGTGAATTAAGAAACTCCATGCCTCATTTGATCATTCTTCCCATACTACGAGTCAGTATGTGCGTATGGCTAATGGGGCGGTAGTTTGATATCTCGTGACTTGGTCCCCCTTTGTGTCGGGGTAGGACGGTGGCCCGCTTGCACCTAGCAGGGTATACACCGGTCTTAATTAACAAGGTGAATATGTTTCGCACGAACAGGGGAATATCGGGCCTGGCGAGTATAAGTAATGCTGGTGGTATGCTGTCAGGTGCAGGGTGAAACGAATGCTATGCGGCTATTTCCCTGCTAATGCTATACAGGTTGAAACTCAACCGTATCTATTGTTTCACTGATGAGTAGAGGCAGTCTTTCTTGTACAACACATGCGTCTGTATTAAACGAGGAGAGCTCATCGAAGTCGGTAGTGAGACTGTCGTCTGATGAGGCAATGCTTATAGGTTGATGACGTTGTGCTTCGTATCTGACTCTTATTATGCGATGTAACGTGTTTGCAGCTGGGAGCTGCTAGCGCTTGTGCCTCTTGTGACATAAGCTTTCTTTCACGTCGGTCTTGCAAGTCCTTGAGAATTTTATTAGTTTGTATGATCGCACCTATATCATTCCTTTTCTTAAACCTGATGCGCAAGCGTTTTGGACGCACCGCAACAGCTTTAGGAATGGGATTTTGAGACGAGACAATGGCTGCTTCCTATGTTGCAGTCGTGCAAGCAGGTCAGTGCACTAGGTCAAATGTTGGTAAAACACATCAGCGACGACACCTGGACAGTCTGTAGGGAAAAAGCCATCCCAGTCAAGGGATCTAATAGTCAGACGGAAGCTCTTCCAGTCCAATTTGCGATATGGTTGATATTGGCGCGCATAGTGGGGTTCGTTGCCGTTATTTGGTTAACCTTGAAGGTTAGTTGGATAACCTTATGATCGCTCCCAGGGAGATTACTAAGAGTCTGTGTTTGTGCACTGGATATGCCAAACGTGAAATACAAGTCTAGAATGTTACTGCCTCTAGTAGGAGAGCATACTTGCTGTGTCCATCCACGAGTGACTACTGACGAAAGAAAATTCCGATACTTAGCGGGTGCTGTTCGTTCCTGCCACGAAACATCGGACAATTTGAAGTCGCCACCTATAATTTTTTGAAAGAACGGCATCTCAGATGCCCATCCGAACAATTCAGTCAAATGGTTTAATTTGGCCTTGGTAGCGCTGGGCAGCAGTACATGCAACCAACAAGAAAACGACCGCATTTAATCTTAACCTGTATCCAGACCGAGTCCTCGAAGCTGCCTGACGAAGGAGCCTCCAATCTACTCGCCTCTAAAGCATCATTAAGGTACACAACGCGACGGCCATCTCGACCAGTAAGACGGCCACTGGCAAAAGTCATGAAGTCAGGAACAAGCAGCTCTGTGCACTGCGAGCCAAACCATGTTTACTTTACAAGCACAACATGTGGTCGAGAGAAAGTTAATAAGGGTCGTTGGTGATGCATCTTGTTCGCCAGCGATCGAGCATTCGTTAGAAGAAGGTTAACTACATCATTTTGGGATAGAAGGCTTGCTGCCTCTAACATCAGCCTGCTGGGGCTAGAATTATCTAATAATGTATTTTCTGAAGATTGTTGAGAGGCAAGGTCACGCTCATTTTGGCTGTATTCATCGTTGCCTGTATCAAAGGACCTATGGGTCTTGAGCCAATGTATGGGGGGCGATTTACAGAGGCCGTGGTGCAGGCCACGGATGATGAAGCAAAGTCTGTTGATTCGTGGAGGGAGTGGGAATTGGGCTTATTCTACATGAGTGAGGAGGTTTGTGACAGCGTACAGGGCTTGAAAAACCATGTGGTGCATTCTGCATCCCCAGTAACCGGTTAATATTCGTCGGGAGTAGGAGAAGTAGGAAGGACTTCGGGTGAGACGGCGGGTTTCCTAGAAAAGGCAAATGCATATCAGTTGCATGTCTGTAGTGGTTCTCCAACGGTAGAAACATATTGCGATGGTCGACTACATGACTGGGTGGATACTCAAAGTGTGGTACGGGTTGTGAGAGAGAGATTACATGTGAGGGTGTAATCTTGCTCCTGTGGTTACCAGCATGGCAAAAATGAGCATCTGTGCCCAGGGAGAACGGAAGGAGGGAAGAAGGAATGGGCGCACAATGAGTCTGGGGGATCAAGAACCCCTGTACGAATTGGAATAGCCCTGGTTTTGGGAAAAGCGGTCGAAACATTTGTAAATGAGTTGGGTAGAGATGCCCTTTGGTTTGCGTCTGGCGTCTTTCGGAAGGTTGTTGAAGACTGTTTTCTTTGATAACTTTGACTACAGCCATTTTTTACATGCATCCCTTGAGATTCTGCTTCTGGTCTTTGCCGCAGCCTTGGACATATAGGGTTTACCGCGTGGTTGGCCGTTAGTTGGTGGCGAGTCACAACCGCCACGTCACCGTGTTGTTAAACAGACATTTGTGGCTTTTTATAGAGAGAATGTTTACCAGACAAAAACTCATCACTTCCTGGACGCTACCGCCGAACTATTTGCTGGAACGGGGTAAACCCGAAACACCCAGCTGGCACCACGAGGAGGTTGTTCGGCTAGCCCGCGACGAGTGTTGATAATTTGCGAGATTAGGCTACCCGTAGAGATTTTGGAGGCAGCAACGATTATCCTGGTCCCTCAATCAAAGATGTGAATGTCATATGAACGACGCCATTGCGATTCTATTTGCTCTGTGTGCCGTATTGCGCGAAACGGGGTGGTTTTGCACAAACCCGTAATCGTTCTTATCACCGATGGATTTGGATCCTTAGTCCCGAACCTTAACTTTGCTCTACCGATTACGCTCGATTGCGATGCCGTCCATATGCCGGATGTGTCCTGCAATCGAAGAAAACGCAGTCTAATGGCCTCAGGACAACAAACAGGAAAGATATCAGAACTCACTCGCTTTTGAAGGTGATATTGTCATAAAACACAAGCGTTAACCAAACTTCACTTCAATATGAATCGCGATCTACATTGCGCGTCGCAATCCAATCACAAAACTTGTACTTCAAATTGACCATGCAATCACTCATTACCCGTTGCGCCAAGCGTTGCTCCTCGTGACCCGGTAGCCAGAGGGGTAGAAGTTTCGGCTACTATTCCCATGGTTGCGGGTTCGAGGCCTGCTATCTCCACCTGATGAGATCAACTCAGATCGAAACGCGTCGTGGTTGTGCAGTGTTTTTAGGCCGGCAGCACCCAGCTTACATCTGCTTCGGCTACGGTCCCAGTGATCACATTGGCCAAAATTCACTTCAATGTGAATCGCGGTCTACATTGAGATGGCGCGTCGCAATCCAGTCACACAGTGTGTACTTCAAAATGACCCTCCAACAAGCAAATTTTCTGTGCTTACCAGTGCCTCGTGCGATCAGCCGTAAACGCATCTCCGCGGTGCTCTACATTCAAGCTGAGCTGAACTTGCTTCCTACCGCGTTTGACGCCGGAAAGCCTCGAACTAGACTCCGGTGAATTGCTCACCTTGCGCATTACTCAAACATGTATATTGGAATTACACACATTGTAAGAAGTGAAGTCAATGGTTAGTTCTCAATTTTCTCACTTTCCGCACTGAGATTGTACGCACAGCAGGCATGCAATTAAAAGGACTTATCTAAAATTATCTAAATTGGCGACTTTATTTTTGAAATAGGTTGTCAATACTTCTTTCCGCTTTGATAATAGATGTCAACGCGATTTTACATCAACCGTCTAGCCAATTTCCCCTAATTCTAATACTTAAGATGACAGCTCAGCATGCACTTATAATTGCCGTTTGATCGATGCGTCTGTGTTGCAAACGCTTGCACATTTGCTATAAAATATTTCGTAAATTTAGACTAGTTCACTGGCTTAAAGTATCTTTTGTCTCACAAGCGAAACGTTGCTACCGATCTCTTCTGAAATGATGATTGTGTCTCCTATTTCTTGCACAACAAGGTAGTGGACATGCTCGGTGGTCGATCAAATTCGATGGTTTGACAACATCCCATCAGAGTCTAGCGGAGCGATCGCTACAGTTGACGTCTTCCCAGATTCAGTCCGGCCAACAATCTCCGACACAGGCAGACTGTATGTTTATCGTGTGAATCAAAGAGCTACTTTGTACAGTTGTTTTACTGATTTCGCCAAATGCAATTCAAGTCTCCACTTCCGTCTTGCTTTTACTCACTGAGTGGCCACTTCATACATGCGGCTTGGCGAGACAAGGTAAAACGAAAGTCGCCAATTAAGCGGTTCAGCAAAGTCATCCCATCCCATTGGACTTTGTGGTTTACATGAATAAAAAATAGACAGCATTTTAGTTTCTGTTTTGATGCATCACTTCCGATAACCAGCAGGTTAGTTATACTCGGCAAATCAGTAACAATACCTCTGCAGCAGTTACGCAGCCTGCTGATGAGTTTCGCCTCGCGGGCATTAGAGAAAGAAATTGACCCAAATCGTGCATGCGTAGCGGTGTGCTTCAAGATTGTTCGGAACAAGCTACAAAGTAAAAAATTGGGATTACACCAACAGCTATATATATATATATATATATATATATATATATATATATATATATATATATGTATATATGGTTGGCGGCATCCGGTTTCGGATTTGCCTGTCACTTTGGCCATCCACAGGACGCCTGCGCCTACAGAGGGACCATGGATGGCTTGCGCTGCACCACCCACAGCTCCATCCACACACCCCATATCCAGTGTAAACCCGAAGGAATAAGACCGGGACGCATGTGGATAGGAGCCACGTTTCATCAACGGAGCCGGCCCACACTCCTTCACAGGCAGACACAAGCACGCTGTATTTGGGGAATCAAATGCACACAAGGCGGTGGCTGGACCGTAGTCCGCTCCACACTGAGTGCATGGTACCGCTCTTCGAGCCTAGCACGACCACAAGGACCGTGCACCCCGTCCCCTCCAGCAACGACCAACTGTCTCCTGGAGCCAGTATGGACGAGGTAGTGGGTAATAGACAGGTAGGCACCTTGTCAACATGCACATCAAGCGCAGCCACATCGGGGATGTCAAGCAACAGCCAGTCACTTCAAAGAAAGATAAATAAAATAAATCGAGTAATGTATAGGGAAACGGTCACATAAATCGTAAATTAATGAGCATATTAAATAAGTTGTTTACAAACGAATGCGACATAAGTTCACGAAGTCGGGAAGTATATTTTACGGAAATGAAAAACACGAAAATGTTATCGAAATTAACTACAATTGGCTTAAGCGGCGTGTGCAATTTTATAGAAAAGAGTATATGTAGGCATTTATATGACAAAGAAAAGCATTAGGACAAAATTGAAAACCCAACACCTGAAATAATTTGATTTAGCATGCAAGCACGCGGTTAATAAATCGAATGCAGCGTACCTACAAACGCTGCACCGGTTCTGCCTACGTTCTCTGCAGGACCCGTCGTCGATTCGGTGCTGGTCCCGAGTGACATCGCTCATGGCTCACTAGGCCTGCCTGACTCAGGCACTCGCGACCGCATGTGCTACAGCACCATGCGCTCGAAGTCAATGGAGTACAACCCATGGTTACTTGCCGCTTCTTCTCTGCATGTATGAGGTCTTTCTCCCGCACTTCGGCAACTGCCTTCGTGATTAGATCGTGCCATGCACGCCGATCAACCGCCTTCGATTCCCATGATCTGCAGTCAAGATTAGAACGTGAGAGGCTCACTTTGGTCATATCCTGGTAAGGTAACTCCGGTTTGTTCACATGCCGCTTCCCAATACTCAGCTGACCGTATAAGAACTGTTTCAGTATCCGCGTTTAATCCATACGGCTCACATGACGGAGCCACTTAAGGTGTCACAGCAAGTATGCAGTCCACCGCATACATCCCACTTTGTCGCAACACTTCCGTGTCGGCAACTCTGCCGCCCTATCCGATGCGCAGAATCCGTCGCAAACACTGTTGATGGAACCGCTGGAGATATCGCACATGCCGCCGGTACATCGTCCACGTTTCACTGCCGCATAGAATGACGGTCAGCACCATGGATTTGTACACCATCAGCTTCGTACCACACTTGGTACTCTACCTTCCGGAATGCCGCCGCTGCCTTCGACACGCGGATACGCAGCGCACTGTGTAGCTGCTGATCAGTCGACATCACACTCCCAAGGTAGCAGAAGCGGGAGGTGGTTTCCATTACTTCAGCACCAATGCTGATTCGCGGCAATATCGTAGATTGCACCTCCGGTGAAGGCTGAAAGAGACAGACAGTTTTGCTTGTGTTGGTGGTGAGCCTGAATTTGGCCGCTATCGAAGCCAGAGCACTAGTCATGTGCTGCAACTCATCCGCGCTGTGTGAAAACAACGCACAGTCGTCAGCAAACAGCAACACACGGATAGTTATCTCACAGACTAGAGTTTTCGCACCGAAACGACGGATATTCAGCAATCCACCATCAATACAGTGCTCCACACGAACACCGTAAGCACAAGCGGCATCAAAGGCACAGGACAACATTGCATGAATATATGTATTAAACAGGGCAGGATCTAAGGCACAGCCTTGCTTCACACCGGAGAGAACTGCAAAGTCATCCGGGGTCTCTTCACTTAGCTGCATCCTCCCCCGCATACCACCGCGCAAAAAATCAATGAAATTTACAAACACCAGCCACAAGGCCTCGCGGTTCACCGTATCAAATGCCTTGGTGAAATCAACAAAAAGCGAGTACAGTGGCTGGTGTCGTTCTCTGCACTTCTCCTGCAACTGACGAGCCGCAAACACCATATCTATAGTGCTGCGACCCGAGCGGCATCCGCACTGCTCATCCACAACATGACTGACGAGGCGGTTTTGCAGGAATCGGGCAATCACCTTGCCCACACAACTCAGGGTGTTGATGCCACAATAATTCGTGCAAGGTTGCTTGCTCCCTTTACCCTTGTACAGTGGTAGCAAAAGGGCAATCATCAGCTGAGGAGGCACCTCCTCCTCAATCCATACGCGTTGCACCAAGTGGTGCAGCGCAGTCACCACCGCGGGTCGGCCGTTTCAATACGTCGAGCGGGATCCCGTCGGCCCCGGCACACTTGCCGTTTCGCAGCTGAGTAAGTGCTCTCTGCGTCTCATCCAGTGTCGGCGTGTCCGCCAGACTCGCCTTTACATCGTGCTGCTTGAGGCTGTCCACTGTAGGCCAGTCGATCTCTGAACGCTTGTTTAAGAGACAGTTAAAGTGTTTTCGCCAGATCTGCATTATATTTGCAGTCTGTGTGCAGGTAGCGCCTGAGCTACCACCGATCAGCGGGTCCAATCTCAGTTCATACACCACCTTGAAGGAGTCAAAGAATTCGTTATGTTGGCGGCGTTCGGCGTAGCATTCCATCTGCTTCGCCTTCTCCGTCCACCATGCATTTTTTATGCGACAGAGCTCTCGGGTCAGTCGCGGTGGAATTTTGGGAAACTGACTATTCTTCCCCAACTCACTGGGGTCTGCCACGTGTGTACTAAATGCTGCATTCTTCTCCAACACCATTGCACCAATCTTCGCATTGTTGTCATCAAACCAATCAGGTCGCTTATAGTTTGCGCGCCCGATGGTCTCCTCGGCAGCAGCTATCACCTGGTCGCGAATATGGTGCCACAGGTCGCCCACTGTGGCTATACCTTCCATATCACACAGGCGTGCAGCCATCGCCTTCTCCAGCTCAATACATTTCGCCACAGTACGGAGGGACAGAATGTTAACTTTACGCCGATTCACGGCGGGAGTGCAATACATAGATTTACGAAAGTATATGTACAGCTTGGTCCGCACCAACTTGTGATCAGTGCCACACTCAGCTCCACGCAGTACACGTGTCATGCGCACTTCACGCATATCACGCTGACGTACGATGACATAGTCGAGCAGGCTATTGTGACGATTCCGGGGATGCGTCCAAGTTGCTATATCACTCGCACTCAGTGCAAACCGAGTGTTCGTGATCGTCAGGCTGTGAGTGGCACACAGTGAGAGCAGCCTGTCACCGTTCGCATTCGCTGAACCAATGTCATGCAGACCGATAACATCTGTCCACACTGATGCATCACGCCCAACGCGCGCGTTGAAATCACCCAGCAGAAATAGTCGTTCGCTCCTCGGCACAGACCGTATCACGGAGGATAGCTGAGTGTAGAGTTGATCACGCGCGTCATCAGGATAACACATGGTCGGACCGTACGTGCTTATAAAGGTGGCAAACTTACCTCTTCCGAGTCGTAGGCGAACAGTCATCAGTCGCGCGCTGATGCCTGTTGGTTCCCCACGAGCTGGCCAAGGAGACGATCAGACATTGCAAATCCAACCCCATGATCACCTGGTGCTGAGGCGGCGCTGCCCACTCAGTAGAATGTGTAACCAGCACCTGCTTCATGCAACTTACCTTGCTCAGCGAGCCGGTTATCACTAAGCACCGCAATATCGATGTGGTAGCGCGCCAGTTCCATCGCGACCAGTGCAGTGCGTTGTTAGGGGCGCTCACTGGAGTTCCGGTTTAGTAGTGTGCGCACGTTCCATCACGCGATGCTTAGTGCTTTGCGCGCAGGCATACGTTTGTATTGGTGGGCAACCGCACGCTTGATATCCCCGTTGTGGCTGCGCTTGATGTGCATGTTGACAAGGTGCCTACCTGTCTATTACCCACTACCTCGTACATACTTTCTCCATGAGACAGTTGGTCGTTGCTGGAAGGGACGGGATCAACTGTCCTTGTGGTCGTGTTAGGCTCGAAGAGCGGTACCATGCACTTAGTGTGGAGCGGACTACGGCCCAGCCACCGCCTTGTGTGCGCTTGATTCCCAAATACAGCGTGCTTGTGTTTGCCTGTGAAGGAGTGTGGACGGGCTCCGTTGATGAAACGTGGCTCCCATCCGCATGCGTCCCGGTCTTATTCCTTCGGGTTTACACTGGATATGGGGTGTGTGGATGGAGCTTTGGGTGGTGCAGCGCAAGCCATCCATGGTCC